TTAAGAAAACAGAAGTTTCCAAGTACAAAACTCCCGTAATGAGCAATCAAGGGGTTAATAATTACAATAATTAAAGGGTTGAAAAATAGTCATAAACATTAAACAAGTGGATGACGTAATGCAACAAGTTATAGACTTTTATCAAAAGCAGCCTGCCTTCGCTGGTTGGCTGGCTGGCTCCACACTCAAGATCGAATTGCCAGAAAGAATTAGCAACAAGAAACTATGGCTGGGAACAAACCAACCAACAGGCGACAGCCAATCGCTCAGCAAATATGTATGAGGAAATGGAGATGGATGGATCGGGCATACGTCAATGAGGAGGCTGTTGAATAACATCGCACTCAGTGCAGGCCATCGTTCGAGTGGAATCTCAATGCGAAGCAACTGGTGGATCGTCAGTGAGGGGTTGACATGGAGGAGATCGTGTGTTAGGGAGAGGGAGATGAGAGATTATGGTCAATCGTGAGGCCAGCTGAAACGGACAGCGTCAAGTAGAACAAAGTGTAGATGTGTTGTTGAGGCCGTATGTTCTACTCGGAACACAGAGGAATAATTAATAATAATTAATAAACTTGAACAAAGCAAGAACAACAATTGTACCAGGATAATATGAGCTCATCTTTTATTATTTCGAGGATTCTTCTCAACTGGTTACAACCTGAACGATGAAAAATATGAATTACATTACATTAAAGATTTGAACATACTTTTCCACGATCACAAGGAGTAATTGGTAGGAAGTAAAAGTAACATTAGTCCGGAATGATTTAACTAATTAAGATTTCCAAACACGGACTATTTATAGAATAATTCAAATGAACTGTGATCAATATTTGACAGTTTATAAATATTTATAGAATAATTAGGCAATTAGGCTTGGAAACAAAAACAGAGTTGCGTATATATGTGTGTGTATAGAAACAAGGTTTAGCTAGAAAGAGCATAACGAAAAAGTAGATTACGTAACTAGAGAAAATGTTTTATCTAATAGCCAATAGAAAAAAAGAAGAGAAAGAACGAGGTAGGATGAGTCATGTTTAGATGAGAGAGTAGAGTTTTCTAAATAAGAAAAAGGTGACTCATACAAGTTGTATATTTTGTTGTCACCAGGGCAGTGCAAGATTCATCACTGTCTCTTTCTGCGTACATAGATTTGGTCTAAGTCGTCTGATAGCAATTGCTTCAGCAAAGCGTAGCAAGTTAGGTTTCTTTTGCTTGTTAAATCATTCCGGACTAATTTCACTTTTACTTCCTACCAATTACTCCTTGTGATCGTGGAAAAGTATGTTCAAATCTTTAATGTAATGTAATTCATATTTTTCATCGTTCAGGTTGTAACCAGTTGAGAAGAATCCTCGAAATAATAAAAGATGAGCTCATATTATCCTGGTACAATTGTTGTTCTTGCTTTGTTCAAATAATAATTAATTTAGGAGAAAAATAATTGATTGATTGGTTGATTAGTAAACAAGTACTTAACAATGAAGCAATCAGAATAATAGAATAAATAAGGAAGTAATGACCTGTAGAAGTCATAGGGGGAAAGCAACTTGTCAACTTTTTCATCCGGGTCTAAATAGAAAGTAAATATTTCCACCCTCGATAACTTCGTCTTTTAGCGACAGTTTTCGATATGAGATTCTGATAGAAGTATAATGTATGAAGATTCCTACGTGAGGTATTAATGTAGTGACGTATGACTGTTTTATTACTTGAATTATACACTTCACGTTCTTACTGTTATGAGGAAAATTAGCTCGTTGTGCAATGGACTCAGGAAACCGATCACTGAGTCATACTGTATAGCTAATCAAAACTAAATTCAGACACGACCAGTTACTAAACTCCCCAAAGATACCAAAACCCCGATTATTTGAGGATAGATTTATGTGGTTGTATTCAACAATAATAGCATCAAGGACACAAAATTACCTCTGCAATGCAGTCAGTCAGCTATTCAGTAAAGAGAAGGTTCACAGTACAAAACGAGTACGGTAGAAGAGAATTATCTACACAAAATTCAACCGTAGGTAACACTTGAGAATCACATGAAATATTCCCAATAAGGTGAGACCAAAACTCCCTCCACAAGAATAGCACATATCAACAACTAACACTCCTCCTCACCCCACAGGTAGTCCAACTTCAGAATGATCTGGATTCACTCAAACCAAATCACATTGTCAGACAGCACACTATCGATGTATTGCAAAACGACGAAGGGAAACATTGGGAGTAAAGATTCAACAGGAACAAAGAGGAATTTTATGGATGAAGTCAGTATATCATATGTGAATATCAGAACGGTGATACGCAGTCTGGGATAAAAACGGAAAATAAGTAAAAAGTTAGTTGGAAGGCCTAAAGAAGCATCAATATATCCTAGGCGGATCATTCGGGAGAGATTTTCCAAACAATTATTCCATTACAAATGAGAGAAAACTAAGTTCTTAGGGAATCTAATAAGGCATACATATGATTTATTTTGACTTGACCTTATAGTTGGCGGCTGCGTTGGAGAAAAATGTTGAAAATGTACTTTTTCGACTACATACTTTTAAAAAACTCTTGTTAACTCTGTTTGTTTTAGGAAAACTTCACATTAGAACTTATAGAAAAAAAACTGAATTCAGTGAATAGATGTTTTCCTGTGACGTTATTCAATAAAACCGGATGATCTCATCTTGGTGTAGAAGGGTTAACTGTATTCCAACTGATGACTTGTTATTATTATTTACCTGATTATTACTCAGCCTACTGAAGATTTTATTTTAATTCGCCTCCTTGTTTGGTGTTTTCAGTTGACTATACTATCAAAACTGAGTAACTGCCGCCTGTATAACTGCATTATTCATGAAATGTTATCTGATGTGGGTTTTACTCATGACTTTAACTGACTCTTATATAATAGAGTGGTAAATCCTAAGATATATTGACTGAAGCTCCCCATTTATAAATTTAAAAGACTCACTATTGAGCAAAGAACATTTTTTTTCGATAAATTCGTGAGTTCTAATGTGTAGCTAACCAGAACTCACTTGACTTACGCATAGTACAAAATATCCCGATGATAGTAAAGAGACAGCTATTTGTCAATAATTATCTGCCGTTCTATTCAGCAATCATAATTACATGAAAACACAAAATAACCCAAACGGCGCCGCCAGGCAGTGACAATACTGGAACTCAGCTGGATGTTTCAACTAATTTAGTAACTATAATCCCTTTTTCTCCCAGACTGTATATCATTGTTCTAACACTCACATATGACATATTGACTTCATCCATAATATTCGTCTTTTTTCCTGTTTAATCTTTAATCCTAATGTAGTAATTCTCTTATGCAGTAAATGTTTTCTATATGAGAAATAATAGCTGCCTGGTGGCACCGTTGAGGTAATTTTGTAATTTTCATGTATTGTGATTGCTAGATAGAACCGCAGATTTTATCACCAAATAACTGTCTCTTTACTATCGTCGGGACATTTTTTCCTATGCGTAAGTCAAGGAAGTTGTGGTTAGCTATACAATAGAACCCAAAGATTGCCCTCCCCGTCCCCTAATTTCAGACCACAAAACCTCAGTTTTGGTTGTTATAGTGGTTACTACATACTATTTTTATTTAAATTTGTTCATAATTAACTGATGAAACACTCTGCAACAGCAATGCAAATTGATAGGTCGTTGTATGCGCGTCCTTTCAAAACGTGTTAGAGAACATTACCCAGCGTGGCTGCAAAGAGGAGGCACCGGTTCAATCAGAAGTGCCATTATTGAACATCTGATCAACACCTCCCACAACATCTCGACTGATTCTTTCAAAGTAATTTACAAAGTCAACAGAGAAGCCGAAGCTGTGTGTTCAAAAGAAATTAGTCCAGCCTCTACAACTGCCATGGACATAGTTCCGTATGTTCCCTTAGCTTGCGTTTTTGTTTTTGTTTTTTCCTTGTCCTTCTTTCGTTCTCTTCTTTCTTTTTTCGTTCGCTGTGTTTGATTCTTACTTCCTCAGTCTTCATTCGATTCACCAGTCGTAAAAACAGTTATTTTAAGTTTGATTCCATGCTTTTCCTGTTCACATTTATAATTCGTTTAATAATAAAAAATATAAAAAAATTATCTATTTTACAATTATATCTTAATCCTGTACGATTTTTTTTTCACGCCTCCTAACTTCCATTCCAAGATAAAATTATTATTTCAATTTTGTTTCCATGCTCATTTTTACACACTTGATACCCGTTCTAATCCTGTGTAATTTTGTTTCTAAGCCTCTCGTAAAAACCATATCTAGTTGGAAATAATTATCACCTTTTATTCGACGTCGTAATTATGTAGGATCAAACAAGAATTGTCTCCATGTAAAATTATGTATTTAAATGCGATTGTACAGCTTTTGAAAATGAAATCGCCGAAAAGATATCTTTGCTGAACTTCGCGTTCTCTTCTTTCTAATGATTTGAATTCATTCCCACTTTTATGTGTGTACACTTTAACACGCAACTGAAGTAGTACACTAGGGAACACTGAACGCCTCAGTTTCGGATGCTAGAATTAGTTTAGGTTACAGAACTTTCAAAAGTGGGTTTGATGTTTATTTGTGGTGAGAGCTGTCTGCCAGCCAAAATTTGTAGACAGCAATTTACGCCAATGTTAACCTCCCAAATCTTGGTCATGAGAAAAACAAGAACAAAGAATTTGCGTGGGCGGATACGATTCATAGATGATATATGGTCTGACCTTCAAAAAATGGCCACAAATAGATGAGAGATTAACTCTCAGAGAGAAAACAACCAATCAGAAGACGCTGTTTCTCGGCTAATAATAACGAATAATAATGTACATAAAAATATAAAATTATCTGTTGATTTTCTCAATAAACGATCTATTGCCTGATCCTTGTCTTCTGTCACTACTATTGGTACTATTTATTCCGAATTATTTGACTCAACAAAAAAACGTGTAGAAGTTAAATATTTACATTCAAATAAACTCACCTTTCCTGTATTTAGATGATCGAAGACATATGGAGGTACTTCAGGTGGTTCCGAGGTATCACGGAATAGATTCACTGTTACTAAAGGTGTTTCTCTATCATTATGCTTTGTCAATTGTCGTTCATCCAACATGTCATTATGCTCGGTGAAATTTTCTTCAAAAACATTATCATAATTTGCTAGATTTCGTTTTGTTCCACGTTTACGCTTAAGATTACGATTAAATAAAACCTCTTTGGAAATTGATGTTCCTGATAAGTACTTATCCTGAACTGTTTTATCCCCAACATGATGACAATGACAAGAAACAACTGGACAACACGGTTGTGAAAGTAAAGTATTAGTAAAATTCAATGAGGAAAGTGATGATGATCTTGACAAAGAATTCAATGTGGTCATTGATGATGAACAGGTCGACTCATCAGCGAAATGTACATGTTTTAAAGTGTCAGAATGTCTTCTAGGCTGAAAATTACTACTACTATTACCACCAGTACTACTACTACCAATATGCATAACTTCATCATTACTAGTGTTGTCAGTGTTGTCCTCCGAGCTGTCCTCAGAACTGTGTGCTAACATTTGTTGAACCCATTTACCCAGATTCTTGTCATTATCTCGATAGCATGGATGATATTTCAGTTTTTCAAATGGTGAAATTAACTTTGTAGGCTTTCTTTTATTCACCATAATTGAAGTGATTATTGTATTGGAGTCTTTGTTTTCTGTGAAGTCGTCTTTGTGCTGTTGATGGAGTCCTTGAAAACAAGATGATGTTGATGATGACGATATGGGTGATGCTATACACTCAACTGATGGTACACATCTTAGTGAATACAAACAACATATATTCCCAGTAGATAAAGAGCGATGATTGGATGAAGAAAAGTTTAGATGATGTAGGTCGTCGGATATTCTGTTTATGCTGGTTTGTTCACTACTGAATACGTCCGATTCGGGCTGATTTTGATGTTGATGATGATGATGATGATGGCGATCATAAGGAAAATCATAGTAAATATGAGGACATTTGCGGATATGATTCGATCGTAGTAAACAATAGTCGGAATGACAATGTCTTGATAGCAATGTCTGACAATTATCTGAAATTTTGAATTTTACATGTGGTATAGATTTGTCTTTCTTAAGTTCAACTACTCTTGTATCATTTGCAGGGGGATTGTTGTTAGTGTTGTCAATATGCGGAGATGTATGTTTTGATCTCAGAGAATCACATGAACTCTGTTTATCAAATGGTTTGTTATTGTAATGCTGGTGAGTAGGATAGGGATGTTGATGACCCAGATGATGACTGTTGTTGTGGTTGTGGTGTTGGTGATGATGATGGCTGTGATGATGGTGATGCTGATTGTTTGTATTTTGTTTTGATTTTTTTCGATGTGATTGAGATCGTGAACGTGACCATATACTACGTAAGCGTAAGATAAGATTTACTCGGAATTTTCCTGATTTGCATAATTTTGGCACTTTTGGATTTAATAAACTCAGTGATGGAAATATTTTATACTTTTTAGGTGTATTAGTATCATTTGTACTTATTGCAGTGTTGGGAGTAGCGTCTTGGACTGATTCATTGGATAAGTTTGTTGTGTTATTTGCTACATAACTTGTTCGCACGATATAATCACATGGACGCTTTTTCCAGTCGTTTAGGTGTTCATCAGTAGGACATGTTTCTGTAATGCAAAATATATGTTCATGAATGATACTCATAGTAGTAGTGTTAATAATAATAATAGTAATGCAAAATACAAAATTTAAACCCACATATATATGTGGGCAAATTTCAGCTTTAAGTACCCAGAAAGCATGTCATATAGTGTGAATAGTTTTAGCGAATGAAAACAAGTGACGGTGACACTTCACTTTGGACTCTGGATTTTGCATATATATATATAATTTTTCTCCCTGAGCTGATACTCTTCCTGGGGCTGATGCTCAGGCTCAAGATTGCCCTGACAATTAAGCTATGTGAGGTGAATTAATCCTAATTCATAGCTAATGGGTCATAATTTAATTTGTGAAGTATCTACCAAGCATTCCGATCAGCTTGGTAAGCATGGCTAGTATTACTGATTGGCGAAAGTCATTTTCAATATGTTACGCTTTGTTTTATGTGCAACACATGAAGACAAAATCACTAGGCTATTTTGGAACTGTAAAAAACAAAATAATTGAGCGAAAAATATCCTTTTCGAGAATTTCCTCTTCTGGCTCTACAATTCTAAATATGTATTTATATTTATTAACATAGAATATTCTAGAATAGTAGTCATTAACAATATCGGGGTTTTAAAATACTATCGACTCGTTAAGTAAGATCAATGGAATTACAATTCATTAAAGATGCTTAAATTATAATAATAAAAATATAATAGCAAATAGAATATCAAATAAAATTGAGGACATTTCTACAAAAAGTTGAAGATCATTAGAACCTAGATGACCAAGGTAAGAAAAATGTCTGAACTAGCATCTTTTGGACACACAAATTAGGCTTCTCAGTGTGGATCCCAATGGCCTCAGCAATATTTAGTAAACGAACTCTTTAGGCAAAGTTAAGATTTGTTGGTTGGTATGCGGTAAATGACCCTGAAAGCATGGTTAACATCAATCTTGTGTTCTGTATCCATAAGATGAGATAGAATATAGCTACGAATAGTTTTTGTTTGTCCTTTATTTAACCACTATGAAGGGTGATGTTCGGAAATCCGATGAGAGACTGCTCCTCTGGAGTAAGTTACATAGGCCGTGCAATTAAGCGTGTTTCTTGTCGGATTTCTGAACATCACCCTGCATAGGGGTTAAGTAAAGGACAAACAAAATCTATTCGCAGTGCTATTCTATCTCATCTTGTGGATACAGAACACAAGAATGATGTTAACGAGGCAACTTTCAAAGTCATCTAGCTCACACCAATTAACAAATCTTAACTTCGCCTTAAGAGTTCGTTTACTACATATTGCTGAGGCTGGCTGTTGGGATCCACATTAAGAAGACTAACTTATGTGTCCAAAAGAAGCTAGTCCAGACATTGTCCTTACCTTGGCCATCTAGGTTCTAATGATCATCAATCTGTTATTGAAATTTCCCTAATCTTAGTTGATATTCTATTTGCATTTATATTATTATTATAATTTATGCATCTTTAATGAACTGTAATTCCATTGATCTTACTTATTCAAAAAACACTAATATTGTTATTGACTACTATTCTAGAATATTCTATGTATATAAACATATATATATATGTAATTGTAGAGCCGGAAGAGGAAATTCTCGAAAAGGATATTTTTTGCTAAATTATTTTGTTTTTTATCGATGTCTGAATGAATATTTCCCCTATATTTTAGAACTCTCAAATTTTATTTTTTTTAAATTTTGATTTCAGCTTGATTCCACACCGTATTTTCAGTATAAGTATGGAATTTTCAGCATGGATATCGGTAGCCCAAATTTACAGGCCGACCATAGATATCGGGTGTTGTCTATTGAGTACGTGGGAATCATGCAGAGGCTGATGAATCAGACTTTATCAAAGTTGAAAGGTGATGAAAATCCATATATGTCAAATCCGAAACTCTGTATTCCAAAGAAGTTTATCCAGTCGCCCAACTTACCATAGACATGATTTGTATAAACATTTCCAGAGTTATTTTTAAAATTTTTCCTTCTCTTCTCTTCCCCTAATTATTGCACGTGTCTTCCAAATGGTACTAATCTTGACTTAACCTTACAACAATTTTAGTTAAACTGTGATTCATGCAGTCAATTATGTTGTGTCACTCAATTTGCTTACTTATTTCTGCTGTGGTCTACAGCTAGTCAGTATTTCTGTATGACATGAATTAGAATGCCTCCACTGTTTTCCGAAACTCAAAATTATAATGAGACACTATTGAGAACATTCTATTTATTGCTACGAAAATTTATCATACATATGCAAATGTACAATGTGGCAAGGATTCGGTTGAAAAGACAAACTCTTATTGGTGGATTTTAAGGCTGTTTTAGAATCTCAAGTATAATTACTAATTGATTTCACTTGGAGAACCATTGAAAACCAAGGGGTAATGGATAGTTGTTTCATTCTTGTTTGGGACTATTCATCAAGGGGATCATCCAGTTTTATTAAATAACGTCACAGGAAAACGTCTATTCAGTTAATTTACTTTTTCCTTCAAGTTCTAATGTGAAATTTCCATAAAACAATCAGAGTTGATAAGAGTTTTTCAAAAAGTATGTAGTAGAAAAAGTACATTTTTCCACATTTTTCTCCAACACAGCCTCCAATTATAAGGTCAAGTCAAAATAAATCATCTGCATTCCTTAATAGATATCCTAATGCCTTAGTTTTCTCTCATTTGTAATGGAATAATTGTTTGGAAAATCTCTCCTGAATGATGCGCCTAGGATATATTGATGCTTCTTTAGGCATTCCAAGTAACTTTGTGTTGATTTTCCATTTTTCTCCCAGACTGTGTATCATTGTTCTGAGATTCACATATGATATACTGACTTCATCCATAATATTCGTCTTTGCTCATTTTGAATCTTTACTCCCAATGTTTCCCTTCGTCGTTGTGTAATAAATCGATAGTGTGTTGTTTTACGATGTGGTTTTGTTTGAGTGAATCAAAGTAATTCTGAAGTTGGACTATCTGTGGGGTGGGGTGGGTTAATTTTTGATATGTGCTATTCTTGTGGAGGGCGTTTTGATCGTAACTTATTGAGAATGTTCCATGTGATTCTGAGGCGTTGCCTAAGGTTGTATTTTGTGTAAATCATTCTATTCTACCGTGCTCGTTTTGTACTTTGAATAGCTGACTGATGGTACCGTTTAGGTAATTTTGCGTCCTTGGTGTTATTATTGTTGAATAGAACCACATAGATCTAACCCTGAATAATCGTGGTTTTGGTATCTTTGGAGCGTTTTGTAACTGTTTGTGTCTGAATTTAATTTTGGTTAGCTATACAATAGGACTCAGTGATCGGTTTCCTGAGCCCAGTGCACAACGAGCTAATTTTGCTGATAATACTAAAGACATAAAGTGTATATTTCAAGTAATGAAATAGTCATACGTCACCACATTAATATGAATCAGCAAAATACCTCACGTAGGAATCCTCATACCTTATAATTCTGTCAGAATCTCGTGTCGATAACTGTCGCTGAAAGACGAAGTTATCGGTGGAGGAAATATTTACTTTCCACTTAGATTCTAATGAAAAACTGATAACTTGCTTTCCTCCCAATGGCTTTCACAGGTTATTATTTTCTTAATTGTTCTATTGTACTGATTGCTTCATTGTGAAATGCTTGTTTCATAATCAATCCATCAATTAATCAATTATTTTCCTCTCCATTACTTATTATTATTCCCTTTGGTTCCTAGTGGAACATACGGCTTCAACAACACATCTGCACTTTGTTCTACTTGATGCTGTCCGTTTCAGCTGGCCCCACAATTGCCCATAATCTCTCATATCCTCCTCCCAGACACACGATCTCCTCCATGTCAACCTCTCACTGACTACCTACTCGTCGTTTCGTGTTGAGATTCCACTCGAGCGATGGCCTGCAATGGGCGTGATATCATTCTATGGCCTCCTCATTGACGTATGCCTGACCCATCCACCTCCATTTTCTCATACATATTTGCTGAGCGATCGGCTCTCGCCTGTTGGCTGGTTTGTCCCCAGACAGAGTTTCTTGTTGCTAATTCTTCCTGACTGGCGGGACGTTTTATCTTCAGTATGGAGCCAGCCAGCCAGACAGCGAAAGCAGGCAGCTGTTGATGAAAATCTGCAACCTGTTGGAAATGCTTCGCATGACACGCAGTGCAATTTTCTGACCCGTAGACCAGAACTTACAGACTTGAAATTAGTGTTGAATGGAATCCGAATCTTATTCTTTAAGCTGACTAGGTGAGTGCGAAATATTTCCAAACTGGTTTCAGGTTAGTGAAACACTAAACAAAAGGATGACGTAATGCAACAAGCTATAGACTTTTATCAACAACTGCCTGCCTTCGCTGTCTGGCTGGCTGGCTCCATACTTAAGATAAAACGTCCTGCCAGTCAAAAGGAATTAGCGACAAGAAACTCCGGCTGGGAACAAACCAGCCAACAGGCGACAGCCGATCGCTCAGAAAATATGAGAAGATGGAGATGGACGGATCGAGCATACGCCAATGAGGAGGCTGTTGAATAACATCGCACTCAGTGCAGGCCATCGTTCGAGTGGAATCCAAGCGGGAAGCGACTGGTGGGTCGTCAGTGAGAGGTTGACATGGAGGAGATCGTGTGTTGATTAGGCGGAGATGAGAGATTATGGCGAGTCGTGTGGCGAGCTGAAAAGGACAGCATCAAGTAGAACAAAGTGTTGATGTGTTGCTGAAATCCTTTGTTCCACTTGGAACCCAAGGGAATAATATTGATAGTATAATGAATTAACATGTTTCCATTACTTCTTTCCCTTTTAAACCGTTATTTCAGCGGTACTTTCCTACTTTTACCACTATTTACACATTCTTTCTCCATTTAAGTTCGCCTTAATTCATTGTATACTATTTTCTCTTCGTCTGGCATCTTCCAGTAAAATAATAATCCGTAATACTTCAAGGGACAATCTGTAGCCTAAACTAATCCCTTATGGTATGCTTCCTTCATCTCT